GGGCTATTCGTATAAAAGATGATTTGCAAGAATTACGTTCTAGAGAAAGGCCTAGTATCTTTCATGTATACTGCCTTTTTGGTTTATTTGAACAGGAAAACATTAGGACGTACCTCGAAAATCACAGGTCAAAAATAAAGCATATTAGCTATCGAAGACCTAAAGTTCATAAAAGTCAAATAGCTATATGCTTTAAATGCTAGCAATTGGTAAAGATTACTGAAGTAGAGCCGAAAAAGATATATTAGAACGGATGGTGTAAATGGGGTTATGAGATTAAATCGGAGGACTTGATGCAAAATCATTGGGATAATGCAAGATGAAAGTACACAGGTTATCCAAAATATTGTGCCAATCAAGTTTATGAAAATCAAAAGCTTTACGCTTAGTTTGATTGATGAGCCACGTTCATTGACTCCTCCGCCATTACCGCCAAAGCCTTTTGCATTAATTGGTGGTCTCTTGAGATACTCACGTAAACATAGTATAAATGTACCTGAGATTAAAAATCTTTGGAGTGATCAATCAAATATGCTTACCATTTCTAGCAGGACTAGTTTGAACTATGTTGCTGATGCATATTTTAATTTTGTGTGAAAAATGCAAAGGAGATAGACTTAATATCCTTCGATTAAATAATAGCATAAATTTATTTATCTTTATAATCTATTTACATATAATTATTGGATCATGTATTCGATTTTTTTAATAGTTGTCCACTGTTTTCCTAATACTATTCTTGAGATCACAATTGGGTAATATATATTTTTTATTTATTTACTTCTGACACAGGTAGTAAAGTGTCAATGTGAAATAAAAACTTATTTACAAATACTTAAATTATATGCTATCAGCTTTATCTATATATTTAGTGACTAGCATTAATCTTGTATTTTGCTAGTAAGCCTCTTTTCGTAGATTCTAGATCTTAAATAAGTTAAAATATATATGAATATTGGGTTTGAAAAAATAGTTATAAATAATTTCTAATATAACAATTATATTTACCGAGATAGCTTCGTCTTGAATTTTTAATTTTTGGTAATTGAGAACCCGACTTTAAAGATTTAGAATGCTTCCTATCCCGTATTACAAGCTTTTTTGATGTCTTTGCTTTTTTATTATTATCATCAATACCTACTTCCATATTATCTTCCGAATCTGAATTGCTAAATAAGGAGCCGAATTTTCTATTTTGCTTGATTATTGTTGAATAAATGAAAAAATGACACTATGTCGTACATCAGAAAGAACTGGTAGATTTCCATAAACCAGGATATTGGATCGAAAGGCAACTATCTGGCTCTGTTTAACATGAAAAGCTAATTTAAGTTCAGGAAATACCAATTGCCCACCCTCAAATACTCCAAGTGGGCACACTACACAAAGTGAATTGCGGTAGTCTTTTAGATCCTAATGGAACTGGCAAATAGTGTTAAAGTTAATTGCCATAGTAGAGAAGATCCTGAATGACTTAGGAATATTTAGACCAAGATCCAATCTTTTCATCTTCACATATAAGGTTGAATATGCCACCTGAAAATAATTATTAATAGCATTAGATAACGGTTGAAGGCCTTGGATTAGATCATTAACACATTTTCAATAATTTTGGTAGTGTGAGGATGCCATATTTGCCATGGTATATGGTTCATTATTGCTACTCGTAAAAGTACCAAAAGTCTCCACTATTTGTTTGGCAAATTCTTTAGATTGGTGTAGTGGGTTATGACGAATGTGCTGATAATAATGATCTACTACTGCTTTGGCATTGTCTGCTACCACAAGATTTGGAAAGGTATAAAAATCTACTATCATTTCACCCAATGTATTTTTAGAACATTGAGGCTTGAGGACATGTCTATATCTACTAAGGTTAATGCCACACATAACTTTTTTTGTTGTTTCGTCTGCAAGATCAAGCTTTTCTTTTGAGTTTCGTTAAAATGCCTTAGAAATAACATAATGC